ATGCTTGCTAATGACGTGAAACGCCGGCATTGTTGTCCGGCCTTGTACTCTCTCAAGTCATGTTTAGTCCCTTGCTGGTCATGGCCAACACGCTTGTACGCCATATTCTAGATGCGGATGAACAAACGTGCCGTGAACTCTCCCAAGACTCCTATGTCTCAAAGGTTACAAACGTCCTTCTCATCGCATAGAGTATTCCCATGAACATTATTGCAGCCTTGGTGCACTGCAGTGCTGGTTTCATGTTGCTCTGTGTCCATACACTAAGATCGTTCTGCAAAGATTCGGCGGGAAAAGTATTTTCCTCCAGGTGATATTCCCTCCAGCTGTCATTTGAATGGCAGTTGATTGGACGCAGATGAAAGACGGCACACATCTGCACACTGAAATCCAGAAGCCATTTCTCGGACTAAATTTGCAGTCGGCGAGGATTATTTTGAAGGGCCTTCTGGTCATTCGGGTCCTTAAGGACTTTTCAGAGGTGAATGTCGTCAGCAAAGATTGCTTCACTGCATATGAATTCTTGAAGGCAGTCATTGACATAAACGATAAAGAGTAAGCGTCCGAGAACTGAGCCTTGAGGGAAAATCAGTTCACCAGGTCTGACATATCATCTCCGATACGGACACACTGTTTTGCGATCAACCAGAAGCGCGCTTATACAGTCAAGAACGCCTCGTATGCCTACAGCCGCCTTTTCACGCCTTCGGGGGTTGTCGTTAACCACAGACGGTAGGCAACCGGCTTACACCAAGACATGAGGCCGATGGGCCGCTTTTGGTGAGGAAAATAATTAAGTTCTGGCCAATATTCACTGATCCTATGCATTATGTGGATTTGGAGAAAGTTATCTGATAATGTCTGATTATCCTCAAAGGGTGACCGCGATTTAACCATTGCTTTCATCTTGAAATTTATTCTCTTAAGACTTTTGCATAAAATGTTTAGGAAAGGGGCACGTATGAATAATAGCTTACAAAAAAAGGCACCGGGAAAAACATGCAATCATTTTTTTCACCCAGACGCACTCGCCATTATAGTTTAGCTGCCAGTCTCGGACGCGTGTTCCCATCGAGTAAGTTCGAAGGGAACTTCTAATGACCACATTTGTTAAAATATCCCACAACACTTTCCGATTTAACACCAGCTGAATTCCTCCAAAAAGAACGTTTTGACTGCTGAAATTTTTAAGTATTGTTAGTATTCATGGAGAAGTAGATATAAGGTTTGTTTAAATTTGTTTGGCACTTTAGGTTAAATGGATGAAAGCCAGGTAAAAATTTAATTTTAAATTAAGTTATTCTGTTGAACAATGGTGGAGAAAATACACTTGTATATGGTCCTAAACGGCAAGCGCAATCCCTAAATTGTAATACCTCATGTCAGTTATTATCC